GTCATTGCGTAATCACGATGCAAAATTGTGTCACTGCATCAAATCTCAGCAAAAAATATAAACAAATGTATATATGTTAATTTAGATGTGTTTATAAAAAATATAAATGCATAATATAGGATAACGGATAATGTCCTGGAAAATTACTACCTTTTTCATTTTTTTTAAGATATTTTTCTTACCGTGCACTGATCAACAAACTCAAGTACAAGCTACTAACAAGGTGTATCATAAATGAACAATTATTCAATTATTATTATTATTATTAAATTAAACAATTGCTAATAATAGCCAACTTAATTCATGTGAATTGTGAACTGCTAGGCACCTTTGGTTTCCTCTTTTTGTGTAATTTAGATGGAAAATGTGTGCCTTTTTTATCGTTTGAGTCACTTCTCAAAAGTTGCTAAATGTTGGCCAAAAATTTTTTTTAAATAGCTAAATTTGTTGCTAGGTGCTTTTGGAAGAAAAAGTTGCTAGGGTAGTCTGAAAAGTTGCTAAATCTAGCAACAAAATTGCTAAGTTGGCAACACTGTTTTCTAGATATTTTTCTTGATCAACTGATCAACAATCTCAAGTACAAGCTACTAACAAGGTGTATCATAAATGAACAATTATTCAATTATTATTATTATTATTAAATTAAACAATTGCTAATAGCAGCCAACTTAATTCATGTGAATTGTGTACTGCTAGGCACCTTTGGTTTCCTCTTTTTGTGTAATTTAGATGGAAAATGTGTGCCTTTTTTATCGTTTGAGTCACTTCTCAAAAGTTGCTAAATGTTGGCCAAAAATTTTTTTTAAATAGCTAAATTTGTTGCTAGGTGCTTTTGGAAGAAAAAGTTGCTAGGGTAGTCTGAAAAGTTGCTAAATCTAGCAACAAAATTGCTAAGTTGGCAACACTGCCTGGGACAGTCTTGCGCACTTACTTCCTGTCGCGCGCACGCGCTCTCAATTGGCCAAGACCACAAGTGTGGATATTTGGAAAAGGGGACAGTCCTGCAGAGTTTCGCTCCAACTCTAATAAAACACACCTGAACCAGCTAATCGAGGTTTAAAGTGGAAGTGAAGCAGTCAGTCAAGTTTAAATTATTTAGTAAACTGATTTCCACTTTAATCAAAAAATATACAGTATAACAAAACACGATTAATGTAACCGTTTAAAAGAAAAAAGGATATTTTGTTATAGCTTTTGAAGCAAGGGCACCGCCATCTTGCGATTCCACAGCGTGTGACGTAACGGGGTTGGTTCGCTCCATTGGCCAGTGAAGTAATATAAGCATTTACTTACTTTTTGAACACATAAATGTTATTTTAACACACAAATGTATTTGGGTTTCACCATAATTGCATGAATATCCAACACTAAACTGTCTAAATCACTAACTTTTGATCGTAGTATCCCAAACATTGTTTTCATAACGTGAGGCGCAACGTGACGTAAACAAACAATGCTTCATATAATAATTGGTTCGCTCTGTTGGCCAGTGAAGTAATATAAGCATTTCTTTACTTTTTGAACACACGCTTGTTTTGAAATTGAGGAAGATGAACTTAAAAGGACTGTTGAGCCCATAAGAAGTCCAATTGCTTAAAGGGGTCATATGATGTTGCTAAAAAGAACATTATTTGGTGTATTTGGTGTAATGAAATGTGTTTATGCGGTTTAAGGTTAAAAAAACACATTATTTTCCACATACTGTACATTATTGTTTCTCCTCTATGCCCCGCCTTTCTGAAACACGTCGATTTTTACAAAGCTCATCGGTCTGAAAAAGCGAGGTGTGCTGTGATTGGCCAGCTATCCAATGCATTGTGATTGGCCGAAT